GTTTTGGTAAGCAATAAACTGATATTGAAGGTTTAAAAGATTATATGTTCCGTGTAAGGAATCATTGTCTATCAATTTTTAATCTTTATTAAACATTTCACACATTTGTTGACATTTACAAGACTAAATCCGAGAGTAAATGTTTATTCAATGATAAATTTTCAAAATTGTTTAAGATAGTTTTAATTAAAATTCCATCTTTGTAAAACGTGTCATATAGAAGACCAAAGTCATTCCAATGATACATTTAAAGATTTGTTTAGGCTTGACACTAAGGCATATTTATAGAATTTACAAACGATATTCTCAAAATTTTAAATTAATATTTGTTTTGTTCTTGTGCCGGTGGAGTTTCTTTGGATTTTCTTTTCTTTTTGTGTATGTGTTGTTGTTCTTTGTTTGTTTGTTTGTTTGTTTGTTTGTTTTTCGTTTTATTTTTTTGTTTCATCATACTTTGTGGATGGATCAAATATTCCTGTTTGAATATTGCGGAATCACCATTACGTATACTACCGCCGTGAACAGTTCCCCTCCATTATAGTTCGGTCTGTACCGGCAGCCGGTGTAAGATTCTTATAATATAAATCATTTGAATGATTAATCATTGACAATTGTACTCCTTGAGATTGATGGTTCTGTACGAAATGGCTCGTGTCATACATACAGTAATCCTTTATTGATTCTCTCCTGTCCCTAAAACGTGAGTACACGCTACCTGTACCTCCTTACCTGTACGAAATTTTCTGCACGGAAATGGGGCGGAATTCAATGGCAGATTCCGCCCAGAAATTTAAATTCTCCCCCAAATATACAAGTGTTAAACCATTTGCTTTTGACACGGATTCCGGCCGGATTCCAGGCGGAAACGGGACGGATTCTGGGCGGAATTGGGACGAAATATGCAAATGAGTTGGAATTTTGAAGCGGAATCTTGGGGCGGAATTTTGAAGCGGAATCTTGGGGCGGAATTTCGGAGCGGAATTGTCAAAAAAGATTCTGGGGCGGAATTCTGGGACAGAATTCATGGGGGCAGAATTTTTATGAGTTTAACATGATCACATTTTTTGGAATAAAATTATCAATAATGTATCACATTAAATTTTCTTTCATAAAATTTAATACATATCCTTTAGTCCAAATACAGAATAGAATACCCTACACAAACAGTTTTTTTCTAGCTGCAGGTTTTGGTAGGTACTGGTTTTCTTAGAATCCAACACTTTGTTTTTTGCAATTATTTTGCTGCGAGTGTTTTAATCATAAATTTGTTTCAAATGTTTCTGATTATCTAAATACTAATTCTTTAATTGATGTCTGTTTTAAGTCCACTGCCTGTGTTTCCTAGAACTTCTTGTGGTTGTGCTCACCTTAAATAATAAAATTTATAATAAATTAAACAAAATGTTCTAATGATTTATGTTTTATTGCATAATTATATGCAGTTATATTTCATATTTTTGATAACATCAAATTTTATGTTTCAACAGTATTAAATATTAACTGTGCTTTTGCATATTCAAAAATACTAAAGCTTACACAGTATCTTATTTCAGTGCACAAGTGTTTAAGAATTGCTCTGTGTAAGAATTAATTAACTGCTTTATTTGTGACACTATTTATAACTGGTTTAATGTATTTTTTCAAGGAAAGATGTTGAATGATTTAAAAATATACCTTTTCGGGATTAAAACTGCACATCTTTATTGAAAAACCTTGCATCTCACAGTCAGCACTTAAGTCCCAGCCTGCAAATATGAGTGTAAAATGTAATGTTAGATTGTTCCATTAGAAACACAACACATACATGTAAAATAATAAATGATTATGATGACCCTGTTCAACTGTACAAAACTTCTGAATTTGTACCATTTAATTATTCCTATTTAATCAAATTGATTTAATTTGTTTAATTTCCAGGAAATGAAAAAGATCAGTACTTCATGCTTTTATTATACAATATACACATTCATTATAAAGAATCATTGAATAATTCATATCTTACACATTATACATGTATTAAAGATTTAAAACAATTATCAGAAAAAACAAATGTATGAAGTTGAAAATATAAAAACAACATTGACCTCTTGTTACAAATTTTAGTTTGCTACCATTGATAGTTTGATAATTATAAAACCTGTTTCTGCATTAATGTAACTTAAGGTTTATAATTACCTGATTATGTTGTACATCTCCTTGTCCCATGTTATCACACTTATTTATCATACAAATACTAAAACACTTTGAGATCTTGAACAAAACTATATCTCCAAAATTGTTAAAATATCAAGTACATCCTCTGTAATTTGCACTCTTTTTGCTGACCCAGATATCTTAGAATTCAAAATTCACAACTGTATAACTGCATGGATAGGTCAATCATTATGTAAAACAGGGTTAATTTACTCATCATCTTAACTTTCATTCATTGAATGTAAAAAAAAAATTCAAGTAACAAATAAATATATAGATAGAATTTAAAAATCATTACAATTTTTTGTACAAAAGAAAATTGAAATGTCCTAGACAAATTCTGCATATGAAATTTATAATGTTATCTCTCCCCAAAATAATTCAATGGAATAGTCTGATCTGTTGGAATGACCAGTTGAGTAAATTAGTCATGCGTAGACTCGTGGGAAACTGCTGGTCAGTTGAGTTTTATCAAAGCTCTGATCTGTGTAGTGTAAACTCTCTGTGTATATACATTGTAGTATAAAACTATTTACCTAAATAAAAGCAATTATTATTTCATGCACTGTTTTTTTTTTTTTTTTTTTTTTTTTTTTTTTTTTATTATTATTTTTTTTATAACAAAATCATGAATTCTTAGAATTTAAAATGGCAAGCACACTATCTTGTCCTGTGGCTGTCCTATATTCTACAGTATATTCAAGTTTAAACAGCATTCTTATTTCAATGTTGCTTTCAGATGATGTCCTAAATTCATTATACAGTACATGTATCATACAAGCTGTATGAAAAACCTTTATATTATAAACTTAAGCATTTTGGAGGTGAATGTTTTCAAGTTCTACACTAAGATTATTACAGTTGTTTTTCAGTACAAAAAAGATTTGCTAAATTATTAGTCTGACAAATAATATATCATTTGCCATAATATCTAAAACGAAGGCCTATTTTAATGTCTAAAAAAATAAACCTATTTATTCTAAAAATACACCTGTAATTATTGGTCAAGTATCATGCTTCAACAAAAATAATAAGTACAGTTGGTAAAATTTCAATGTCCGCAAGTGCAAAAACAAGAGTACAATTATGATTTAGACATCTTATATGTGAAGTTCTGTTCAAGAAAAATGTTTAAGTATAGAATTCCGCCCATAGTGAAGACCATTCCTTCCCAAGAAAATTTCAAAGTTGAAAATTCTGTCAAAGATGAAATGTTTCAGTATAAATTCTGCTCCAAATAAAATTCCAGCCGGAATTTTTCTAGTTTTCCGCCCAGAAAAGTGAACAAAAACTTTTTCTTGTGAGACGGAATGACACGGAATTTGCGTTTCCGTCCCTGGTCCGCCCAGAAATTACTGATTCCGTGTCAATTCCGTGCCAATTCCGCCCAGAATCCGTGCCAAAATTTCGTACAGGTTATCATATTTACTATTTCAGGGTTTCTGTCCTTCCTACAGAAATTTCATCACAGTCACCTGTCGACGTCAAAACTATCTAACATGAGCAAATGCAAATTTTCGTTTATCAAAATGCTATGGTTTGAATCATAGATCAATAAAAGTCTTCAAATTTTCAGGATTTTATGTAATTATCTTGTATTATCAATTGTTGTTTTTTTTTGTTGGTTTTTTTTTTTGAGGGGGGCGTCAATCAAACATCAGGCAACTTTGAAGAAATAAAGATTTTCACTCTCATGTAAAAGAAACAAACATTAATTGACATTTCTCATTTTAATATATTGCCAACCGTTTTCTGTAAATCATAAGGGCTAATTAACAATAACATGTTTGCAATGTCAAATTAACATTATTTGCGTGCACATGTGTTTGAAACGTAGCAAGATCTTTTGATAACCTACAAGATACACCGGTTTTAATAATTTTATAGAAAGGAAATACGGAAAATTTAGGAGAACTGTCACAACAAGTATCTAAATGTGTACTTAGAGGAATTTGTCTTATCGATGGCTCTCTTATCTGCTGTATATGATTTTCGTATCATATTTCTTAGTTTATCTGTTTGACCAATGTAAAAAGTCACTGCATCCATTTCATAATATAAATACAGACAGAATATATTCAATAGACTAACTTAATATTTTGATTTTTCCAGCTAACAACGTAGATACAAACACACTTTTACAGTTACAGCTTCTAAAATAAGCAAAATAGGTTGACTTATCTATTGTGACAGGTAGAGCACCTTGAAACTATAACGGTAAACGTTAGTTTGTACCTACAGATTAGCTGGGAAAATCCCACGTTTGCCGAATTAAAAAATTGAAGACTTAAGCATATCTAAATTTAAGTCACCCGTGATCAATATATTATCAATATAAGTATCAAATGCTAGCCCTATAGAATTCTCCAATATTTGTCATAACAAGTGAAGAAGAGTTTGGCGGTCTGTAAAATGTGCCAAAAAGGATTTTTTTAAGGAGAAGTTCAATCCATATACTTTCTACCCCCTGAATTCCTAAAGTCCGTTCTTCTGTGAGCTGGAAGGTGGTTTTTTAACATAAACAAGTACACCTCCATGGTTATCTAAACGTTTTTTTTTTTTTTGTTTTGTTTTAGTTGTAAATATATCGCCTTTTAATATTGAATCACATATACACACATCGGGGAATGTCGCATTTGTATAAATAAGAAAAAAAATAAGCCTCGTCGCCGTCGCCAATAAGGAGGTCGCCAAATGCAGGTCTTGGGCTCAGCTCCCAATTCCAGATATCCGGATACATGATGCTGGCGTCGCTCTGTTTCTGGATCTTAATGTTTTACTTGGGAATCAAAGGATTCCAGTACGGAATGCTCTACAGGACATTTGACGACGAAAGTCTCGACAGTATCGGTTGCTGCAGCAATTTTGGCGGGTCAATTCAAGACAGCTTAAATTTTATGGAGACATACGCTAAAGGGGAAGCAGGACCGTACCTTATGAGACTGGGTCCTGAGACGTATACTAGTGAGTTTAAAGGGACCCAGTCTCCTGCAGAGCTGACAAATATTCCAACTATTGTCACAGCCGTCTCCACGGCCGACTTCTACCCGGTCCAGTCCTTAATCCGCCAGTGGAAGGAATCCATTAAGCCAGTGTTTAAAGAGGCAAAAATTTAATCATATACGATAATTGATTATATCAGCAAGGGCCATGAGCTGGTAGGTTACTCCATGTCAATGCAATTGATAAATGAGGCTAGCGTCATGACAAACCAACATAATGGGTTGCGACCAGCATGGATCACACGACCAGCCTGCGTATCGCGCAGTCCTGATATGATCATGCTGTTCGCTATCAGTTTCTCTGGCTTGTTATAGGGTTTGTAGCGACTGCGTGGATCCTGATCAGACTCGCCGGATGCCAGGACTGGTCTGGAATCCATGCTGGTCGCAAACCTTTTACTGTTGGTTTTGTTTCGTGAACGGCTCATTTACTTAACTGCATTACATTGTAAACACTTTATGATTACTTTATGATTACATTTATTTTATTACCTAGCTAACTCTTTGAGACATATTTTTCTTTCTTTTTCTGACAATTATTTTAAGTTCATAAGTCTGATTCATTTCATCTTGACATGAAATTATTTCTTAAGAAATCCTTGCAGAAAATTTCAAAATCTACGTCATTTATAAAAATGTGTTTATGATTGTTAAAGTCATGTTTATTTATTGCTTTCTATTTGCTTGAATTACAATGCCCTAGATCGTAAATACAGAACTGTATGATATAATAAATGAGCGTTTTAAGAAATTTGATAATACAGCCTTTCAATTATTGCTTTTGCTTTTCCGTTAACAAAATCAAATCTTCCCTACAATTTGTTTGAAGACAATGTATAATTAATGGTGGTATAAATTTGCAGCCACGTTCCGTAGTGTATGTACTGAAAATGCATCTCAGGAACATTATTAAACGTTTTTATTGCTCTAAAAAATAACCATTTTCCACGCCAGACACGACGGTAAATAATAATTTAAAAAACTGGTAGATCTACTTAAATCAAAACAAAAAATATGCATTCGTATAAACCGTGGGTCTTAAGAAAATGAAAGGGAAGTAATCGAGTGTAAAGAGATATATTTTATCGGGTCAAAGGTGCTAGTTGCATTGATTTGACCTAAAATATGTTTAATCTTGTTATTCATGTAATATAATATCATGTAATATAATATCAATATATAAAAAAAATAGAAAAAAAAATGTTATAATTATTGTTGTCTACGACAATATAACATTTTTTTTCTAATTAATTTTAATACATGTACATTGTATCTTTCAAGAAAATAACAAGACTAGACATATTTCAGGTCAAATCAATGCAACTATAGCACCTTTGAATCGTGTTAAGAAAAGTTGCAGAATGTTATATGTTTTAACAGTTTTACTATTTTTGTTTCTCTGTTTCAGATCAAGGCACATTGTGACTGTGAGATACGTGAATTTAGAACAAGCGCCTATCCCAAACATGTTGCCGACATTACCACGTTTGCATATAGACCTATAATAATCCAGGTATGATCCCCGACTTCCTATTAATTAACATTTAAAAAAAAATTAGTAAAAATCGTGTTTGTTTTAGTTGAATATGAGCACCCCGCTCTTACATGGATGAAAAGTTTAAGTATGTTATTATGTTAAGTGAAACAAAGATTCCATATATCAATCTTGAGATAAAGTTGTTGTTGCTCCTGTTTTGTTGTTGGTTTTTTTTTGCAATCTGACTAATTTAACATAAGGTCTGATCTTCAGTCTGACTGAGTATAGGATTTGTACCTATCCCTAACCCTTGTCATATTTCTGAGAAGACGTCTTCCAAGTCCATGGCTTAATTAATTAAACGTTCACGAACGGTTGACCTATTTAACAAATGCATCGCCCATCCACAAAAGAATCTGGATGTCTCAATGACAAGTCTTAAAATAGTTAGACTAATTATATAGACAATTGCTTTCAATTGCAGACCATCATAGAGGAGACTGGTTCCGTGTTATGGATGAACCCTAACATGCTTTTCACTCAGGCTTCTGATCTAAAACAGTTGATGTACCGTGGATCACGTGACTTCTTTTTGTGGCAGCCAGCGGAGTTTATTGGAACGATCGCTTTCACCGATATGAAAATGTTCGAGTACCTCAAGGAGGCTCGGTGCTGCTTCACTGAATCAGGGATGATCGATGTCTCCACCATTGTGTTATACAGGACGAATACCACGTGGTCTACCATCATGAAACCATGGCTTAAATGTGCATTGAATAGCGCGTGCATTTCCCCGCCAAAATCCAGGTATAGCGGTTGTTTCGAAATGCGCAGTCCGAAAACAACCGGATGTCATAGATATGACCAATCAGCATTGAGCATTATCATAGATAGAGTATACCAATTTTCATTAAAGTCGGAGAAATACTTAGTTCCAAGAATTTCTAGGCAACAGGAGGAATACCTCGAATATTTCCCAGAACAGCCCTGGACATATACAGAAATGTTTTTCGTGAGTGCAGTACCTTTAACCTGTGTTGGTGGACTTGTTTTTATGTTCTGGAGAAGAAAACAAAGTGCTAAGAAATCTACTTACAGAAAAAGATAATGTTAACAAATGCACATGTATAGTTAGTTTTTTATAACTTGTAAAGTTCAATTCAGGGTATTCTTAAGACAATCTGTTGAGTTCTTACTGGATTAGAAGTTATAATTCACAGTTTTCAGTAACCATAAAGTTTGAATCAGATTTTGTTTTATCAAAACCTCCGATTATTGTTTTCTTTGAGATATAAATTTGTTGACTATATATATTAAATATGTAGAACATGGTTGTACCAGAGATGTAGATAAAATTATATCTATGTGTCTTTGGTTATGTCTATCGCATATATTTGACTGATATTCCTAGTCAGTAAAGATAATGTAATGTGAATATCAGAAAAAATAATTGTTTTTTTTTCCTTCATATAATCAAGGACAAAATTGGTAGTCAGTCTTTGTTCTTTCCACAGGCAACAAGCGTTGGTTAATATTTTGTTTCCTTGATTTATGAAGATATAATCATTTTACAATATAAAATATAATTATTGACTAGACATTTGAACAATTCAAAAAGACCCGTTTAAATTAACATGTTGAATGATATATTAACTTTTAATTAAATTAACATCGTTCAAAACACTGACTGCTAGATAATGTATAGTTTAGCTTAAAGCAAACATTTGATATATGTTTTTTTTTCTCGTTAGTCATTCTTGTCACTTGCATGTTTACTAAAATTACATAATAGAAAGTTTATCTTTTCTCTCAATTTTTATGAAGATATATTCATTTTACAAAACAAAGTACATGTATAATTAAATTAATTATTGACCAGAGACATTTGATTAAGTCAAATGCCAGTTTAACACGTTGGGAGAGTTTTATTACTTTTTATTGTAATACATTTGTATATATTATAAAACTCTATCACATATTTAAAAACTTTGCTAACATTTACAAAGCTCAAAACCATGACTGCTAAATACAACATTAATTTATATGTTAGCTGAAAGCAAACATTTTGTATACATGTTTACCACCCCTCCCCCCGGCATTATTTCACTCTTGTCATAACACAATGTTTTTATAGAGGTGTGGAAGCCCCCCCCCCCACCTTCTCCCCCCCCCCAATCTTTGAGGCATTGGACCATGAATAGAAAACATTAGAATTATCAGTGCCTGTATTCTGTATGAGCACACAGGTCTTAGATGTGTGGGTCTCTTAAGTTAAACTTGAATCTACAATGTTATGTTGTTAATTAATCTTAAATAATAATTTTGAGTCACATTGGGTTTTAATTTTTACACAGTTTTTTTCAGCTTATGTGAAGTTTCCTTTTAATACGTATTGTGAAACACGATAATGCAATAGGAATATAGTGTTTATACAAAATATAAAATGCATGTATATGTTGTTATTTCTGTAAATCTCATCTAAAACATCTGAAGATTGTAATTATAATGCATTTTTTTAAAAAAAAATCTATTTTTTTCTACCCTATGTATCTCAACCTGTTTAAGGTTGAACACCACTAGAATACCACAATGTTTAACATAAGTGTAGATAAACCAAAATGTACATATAATATCAATGCATAGTACTGTTGAATATTTGTCATGTAATAATTAATAGTTGACGTTCGCAGTATTATAATTTTGTTAAATTCTTATAGGTTGATTAATTAATTGATTTCTTTGGATCAAGGTACACAAAAGTACAAGCACTTATATATCAGTGGGGTCCTTTACCTAAGCTGACTCCAGAGACAGCTTTGAGATAGGAAAATCTGGGACCAGTCCTAACCTCTTATTAAATAGACCCTTGGTTCTTTTACATGCCCAGTGGGTAGGGTTATCTTATAACCAACCGTTTATATCGAGCCATTTATAAACAACTTGTCAAAAATCATTATAACTAATAATATTCTATAATTGTCTTTTTGTTTAAACCTGTGACTCATGGGTTGAAAGGCAGACCAGGAACTCCTTCACCGTGTGTTTGTTCAAGTTGTTTTTAATTTTCTGTGTTGTAGCAAACACAAATACTTGTCATATCATAAATTCCTTAGCTTTTTATGAGTAATGTGATGCTTTTTGAATTTTTCATTCCCTTTTTTTTACATATATGTATTTATATTTATTAACATTTGATTATTTTAATTTTTATTTTTATCTACATTCATCGTATACATGCTCATTTTTGTATTTTGTATAATACTTTTATAAATATCTCATTTGGAGAGTTTTGATTTATTCACTATGTTAAACAGGTTGCATAACCTTTTTGGCCAATTTTGTATGAAAAATAAAATGTTGTCTATCTTTGATTCATTTTGGGCTTCTTCTTTGATTATTGAGCAGTGATTATGAAAGGTATCGCAAAACATATCATTCTAATAAAGAATACTGTTAACACCTATCTAATATTTTGCTTCCATATGATTCTTTCATCAAGCTGAAAACAAGGCCTCACCAGTTTCACGTAAGGTATAAAAATCTGTTCTTAGCCCAAATGACCTTGACTCATTGAAACAGGATTCCAAAAAGTGGGAAGAGGTTTATCAAAGATACCCAACATGCAACATATCTTAAAACATTGTCAATACTTGAATTCAACATTGTAGTAAGGTCATAACTTTCCAGCTTTACTAGTGAATGAAGACCTGAGCTAGGTGTCCCTCTGTGCATTATTTCAGGCACAAACTGGAACCGGAGTAGAAGTACTAACAGACAGTAAGTTAACTAGATAGTAAGTTAATCACATGAAAATCACAAGTCCATGGCAGGATTTATAAACAATAGCTGTGAGGAGTTTTAGCAGTTAAGTCAATGACTTGAACCAATCTGCCACAGATGCCAATCAATACATGAACCAGCTTTGCAAAAAATAATGGCAAATAAAATGAAATGGCATGGTGGGGAAAAACTGGCAACTTTATGCTCACACAAAAAACTGGCAACTTTATGCTACAAAAAAAAATAATTATCTAATTCACAAAAAATAAAATAATTATCCTCAACAAAACTGCTAACTTTATGCTACAAAAAAATTATATCAGGAGCTAAAAAGTGTTAAATTATTATACAAAATCACATTAATGTCAACAGTGCATTCTCAATGTAAAATATTTACAATTAATTTCACAATGAAGTTTTTTGACACAACTGAAAAATTAATTATTTTTTACGTCTTTTCTCATTTTATATAGCCTAATTAACAGTAATCTATAAGAGTGCAAAACTAAGATTTTACATAAATTGAACTTTTAAAACTGCCCCCCTAAACCGGAACCTTGAAACCAACATTATTTAAAGTCCCATTTTTTGGTAAAAGTTCATTGAAAAAAACCTCTAAATAAAAATTAAACAATTCGAAAACGGGACATTTGCTATGCTAATAATTTCAAAACATAAAATTTTTTTTAAAACCAAAGATTTTGGGTTTTTTTTTTTTTTTGGCTAGAATCCAAAAAAAGTAAA